AATTACAAGGTAAATTTTACAATGTTTATAACTATAAAAGCAGTCAGGAATAGTTGTGTTTTGACAATGCGAAAAGCTGCAAATTTTACTTGCAGATAGCCAGGAGGAATTTGACATCATCCTAAACAAAAAATACAACTAAAACAGCCACAGATTTATAATTTTTCCCTGAAAATTTCTGTTTTTGTTACTGATAAAAAGAGACATAAATATGAGATGAAGCGAACTAAAAACGTTCTTGTTTTTGTAATTTTATTGAATTTTATTGTTTTCATATTTGTTGTCTTTGATTAAATGACGAAATACCTCGTATTTTTCTTGAAATACTATCCAAACTGTGTTAGTATTCTATATAAAAAGTGCTGTAGAGCAGTTTTACTAACCAAAGAACATTTTTTACAACTGTTTTTTTTTTTTGCAAACTGTTTCGGACTTTGTACTTTGCCTTCGCGTGACCTTTTCTTCCATTTTTTACAACGTACAATGCCATATAATAAAAAACTTACTGACCTCAACCGTTCGGGCAGTACGGGAAAATATCCAACCTCGGTCTTGCTGTATTGACCTCGCTATCGCTCGGTCAATACAGCAAGACCTCGGTTGGATATTTTCCCGTACTACCCTCACTCTCGGTCAGTAAGTTATTGCTGCCGAGCATTAACTTGTGCCCAGTCTCTTTGGCCGAGTTATGTATTGTCGACGTGAATCGAGATTTGTTCAAAATTTGGATGTCCGTCGGCAAACCGGGGGACCACGGGGGGTGACACATCAGGGAAACGCGAATGCTAATGAACGTGTCTTCACAGTCTTGAAAGATAGTTTCAGGAAGTCATCATAATTTTAGTGTAAAGGTATTACAAGTGCAGTTTATACGTTATGCCACAACTTTACTGGTAATATTCGTGGAAGTATTGATCAACGTACTTTTGAGACTACGTCTACGGTTTAGACTTTAGTTTCTATTAAATATTAAATAACATTTTATATGCTACCGGCTGAGTCAAACAACCTGCCCAGTTTGCCTTTGATTTTGAATCTCATTGTGTCAGTCAGTGTTCGAGCAAATGCATTAAAAGTGATTATATCTGTAAGTTTAGTTTATATATTCAGTGTTTTTAAATTTTATATTGATGTATTATAAAATGAACCCGCGGTTTTAATATTAAAGACGTTGCGAATATCCAGGGAAACAGGGTTCATATCTCTGCAGTGCTATGCCTATGAAGACTACCATGTCTATGGCTATCCACTTTATGGTTACCTCCTACAAGTCTCTGGCTACTATGTATATGAAAGAGTTTGAGTATTTAATTTTAAATTGTTTCTTCGAAGTCGAGTTTTGTCATTTATATAAATACACTATAATTTGTGTTCAATATCTCTCCGAGCTCTCAACTCTATAACTTTGCAAGGTTCATATCTTCGGGTCGGTGCATGCTATGAAGACAACAATACTCCCACTCGATTCAGTGAAACAAAATCCGTCCTAATTCCTAACGATACAGTTTTAGTCAAATGCCCACAAATATATCATCAAGCTATTTATGACCTTTGTCTTTGAGACTGTCAAGCGGTATCATTTTCACTATATATTTTACCGAAAATATTAACTTCGGCCCCTTTGGAAATATCATTTTCGTTTAAATATTCGAACCAAAATCCTAAACACTATTTATAGAGTCTTATTTTCAAGTTTGTGTCTTCAGATTTTCATCTTTTATTTCGGTATTTACAGAATAAAATCAATATTTATATTTTTAGCGCGGCATCAAGCGATCAAAACGAAACATTCTATACAGGTCAAAGTACTCCCAGTGGCAGTGGTTTGCACGTGCATTTAGCCTGTGTAGCAGGCGGTATTCGCGGGCACGAGAGAACGGGAAGATTGAAATAATTTGATTACACGTGGCAACACGTACGAATAAAGACCCGAAAAATTCAAAATAAAAAATTCTACTCGCCTTATTTACTCTCATTGAGCAAATTGTGAAGAGTTTGGAAGATATTCAAGTATTTTTCCGTAAATATATGATTCATTGTTTCGGTTTGTGTCAGTGTTTTGAAGGCATTTGACCCCCCCCCCCCCGTTGAATAGGGTATTTTGTCAGGATTACAATGGTGCTTTTCGTTTTAAAGGGGGGAGGGGGATGATCGCTGCACTTTTACAATTAGAAACAATAAAAATCGTAAAAAAATTAAATTGGGGCGCAGGGCCGCCGAGAGCTTAGCGGAGGCCCGGGGCAAATGTTTTATTAGGGGCCCTATATCAAATTTTTTTCTGGAAAAAAATTTTTTCGGACAACAACAACCTCCCCCCCGTCGACAACGTTTTAGGGAAAAAAATTTTCCGGACGAGTACGTTGTAATTGCTTTCCAGCGACTTTACCTCAATTTTTCATACCAAATTTCGGCTCTTTGCTAAAAAACCAAAATATCTTGCCCTTTGCGCGGGGACATTTCACCCAAAAAATGACTGGGGCCCAACAAAAAATTTGTAGGGGCCCCCAGAACCGGGGCAAATTCCCCCCCCCCCCTCTCGGTCGCCCTGTTGGGGCGCGACGACCGAAATTAACCCGTAAACTGGCACTCGCGAGTAAAGTTGTCCGGCGTTGGTAGACAGTATCACAGTAAAATTCTAAAGTTGGTCGCATTGCCAGCCAATGGGGGCTAAGAGACATTGGCAGATAGATTTGTCAACCCCATTTTAATACTGACAGTCAATCTAACACTGACAAGTAAAATCGTCGGGCGTTACATAGTGTAAATTTGTCTGGGGTTACACTAGTTAATACTAAAGTGCATTACCAGCTAATGGGTATGCCGTTCATCCACTTTTGACCCAATCAACCAATGGCCTCATTTTCATGTTGGTTAATTCACTCGTGTTCCGTGCGCACAGTTTAATAATAAGTTTGTGATTGATCTTTAAATCATAAATGATGAATGAGAAACAAATTTGTGCAGGGAATATAACGTTCATGTGCAGGCCTGCTATGCTACCAATGATAAAATCTGGAAATGAGGGCATTGGGTCAAAAGTAAACTTTCCTTTAGAGAATTGTCTAGACTTACTCGTTTGCATTCAGTTCATGTCGCCAAACGGCAGCACTTTCCTTGCGATAGTAACTCCTAGTTAGTATTTGTAATGCTTAAAGGTGATCTACAGTCCGATCTGCGCATGTGCACAAAGGAGCCCACTTTTTATGATACAAACAGTTTAACTATGTTTTGGGTTCTTGGAAAGCCTGATTATTGTTTCTTGATCATTTATTATACTCTAGAAGCTTGAAAATATAAATAGTTGTCGAATAAAGCTCAATATATTTTGGACACAAAAATGTAAACAAAGGCTTTGTTTACATACGGACTGTAGAGCACCTTTAATCTCTTTCCTATCACAAGCTATTCGCATCATATTACGACACAATGTTTCAAAATCAAAAATAAATATCTTGGCAAGTATTTACCCCCCTTGTAAATAAAAGCCGCCATTGTAATCCTCATAAAATAACCTTTCGAACGGGGGGTCAAGTGCCGTCAGAACATTACACAAACCGAAACAATCATATATTTACTCACCGCTTGGCCAAAGATTCTAAAATTCATATCCACAAGATCTTGAATACCCCTTGAACTTTTCGACATTTGCTGAACGGCTATATGTGTAAATACTCTTTGTATTCAAGCGCTTTCGTGTAGAAAGTTTCGTATGTATACGCCGACTAGAAATATTTATTTTGAATTTTTCAAGATGTCGGGTTTTACTCGCACTTGCGTACATTGCGCAATAATTGGCCAATAAGAAGCTCCTTTGGCCGGGATGACGTCAAACTCACGCGTGTAGGTGCAATTTGACCTTGCGAACCATTTCTGGCCTTTGCAGGGTCATACGATACAAACGTCGCATTGTTTTGACGGTTTTAAGACGTATTTCCGGTTGGGATGTTTTTCATTTTATTGAGTATTCTACAAAATCTACTATTAAAAGTCTAAACACGAAATGACAAACACTCACAAGAACAAATGCAACAACTGACAATCAAAACCTCAACTACATGACAACATAAGCACATGCAATTTGTAGAAGACCCAAACGGCCAAGTTAAAGCACGAACGAGACACAAAGTCCCATGCAACGTGCTCATCGTCACAATACAACATATAACAGACTCTGCATTACAATGTCAATGTTCAAAGACCGACAAGAAATAAACAGTACAGTATTTAAATTAGAAACTGTGGCAACAGCAATCAGGCACCAATGTCCACGTGCATGACATGTCTATGTCAAATTTTGCGTCTAAACAGTGTTTGTACGTGTCCTTAATGTTTCTTTTAAAAGAGGAAAGGCTGGCGAAGCTGGTTGGAGGAAGAATTTTACAGGCGTAGTTCCATATTTTAACAATGCGGTTGAAGTAGGATGCTTGGAAAGTACTTGACTTGCAGTATGGAGTTTTGAGAGTGAGCGTAGGATTTTGGCTGAGCCTTGTCCGACCATTGTTCACAAACGAAACGAAGGTACGCACATCGAGATCGATATTTCCATGAAGTGCCTTGAAGAAGAAAACCAAATCTGTTATTTCTCTTTCGTAACAAAGGGGAAGTAAGTTGAGGGTTGTTAATCGCTGTTTATAGCTAATCTCTCCTCGCTTCGATTTCAGTATCCAAGCAGTAGCTCTTCTCTGGACACTTTCCACCTTAGATATTAGTTTGGTGGTATGTGGAGACCAGACCTCAGTAGCATAGCTCAGCTGAGACCTAACAAGCGTCAAGTACAGCGTCCGCCTCACAGTTGTGTTAGTCAAGAGAGGACAGGTTCTTTTCAGAAGTCCAAGCATCTTGTTCCCTTTTGCGGTGATGGTGAAAATATGGTCATTCCATGAAAGGTTGTTATTAACGCAAACACCAAGATCTTTCTCTTTCTCTACACGTGATACAGCTTTCGAGTTCATTTGGTAGGCATACGTCAACGGAGACTTTTTTCTTGTGATTGTCAACACCTTACACTTGGATGAGTTGAAACCAAGATTGTTGTCACGGCTCCAGCACTCAAGATTGGTTAGTGCTTGTTGTACTTTTTCACAATCAGCTATCGATCTAATCGAATTGTACACTTTGGTGTCGTCTGCATACAGGGCTGCCATTTTCTCGTAGGGTAAAATGTCGGGAAGGTCATTAATAAATAGAACAAAGAGAACAGGTCCAAGGATGCTTCCTTGCGGCACACCAGATGTTACGGGTGCCCAATGCGAAGCAGCTCCATCAATAACCACTCTCTGACAACGACCATTGAGGTAATCAGCAAACCATTTATACAACTGACCTCTCACACCGTAAGATTTTAGCTTCTGCAGTAGGATTTGGTGGTCGACAGAGTCGAAAGCTTTGGCGAAATCTAAGTAGACAATGTCGGTTTGGATATTTTTGTCGAGGGATTGTCCAATGGCATGTAGAACAGATAAGAGCTGTGTGACGCATGATCGTTGTCTTAGAAAGCCATGTTGTGATTCCGTGATCAGGTGACTAATATGGTCATAAAATCGGAGGCACACACAACGTTCCAAAACTTTTCCAAGGATGGGCAGCAACGAAATCGGTCTGTAATTCTCGGCTGGTTCAATACGTTCCTTTTTATGAACGGGAGTGACATTAGCGGATTTCCACTCAGATGGAATATGACCACTATGCAGAGAATGGTTGAACAGTTCACAGATGCTTGGTGCGATTTCGAGACTACATGCTTGCAAAAGTCGAGATGGAATACCATCGGGGCCGGTTGCTTTCGAAGTATCAAGGTAGCTCAAACATTGTGAAATTTCATCAACATCGAGTGTTATCTCGGAAATTTGTCCCTCTGATTCCAAAGAATCTGGGTAATCACTAGGGGCTGAACGAGTTGAGGATGGATGGAATACCGAAGAAAAGTAAGAGTTGAAAAGTGTCGCCTTTTCCTTGGCAGTTTTAGCTGTGACACCATTGTAGGTAATCTCATTATTTTGACGTTTCCTGTGATGTAGGATGGCTTTGTGGTAGGACCAGAACAGTTTAGGGTTGTCACCAAAGGAATTTTCTATTTAGAAAGGTATTCTCGGTGTTTGCATCTGATTAAGTACTTTATTCGTTGAGTAAGAGCTCGTAGTTTACTCTTTCGAGTAATTGTTTTGTTCATACGGTATTTTTTCAGTGCTTTGTATTTTCTGCTGATTAAATTGCGTACTTCTTTATCCACCCATGGGGGAGTGTTGATGTCTTTGACCGTTTTCATTGGCAC